CCCCCCCCCCCCCCCCCCCGCCTCTTCCTTCAGCCCTACCATCTGCAGACACTCTGGGCCTTTCTGTTTCTGGGCAGCTTTTTGCCAAGATAACCTACACAAAGCCTCACATATTGTGTCACTGATAGGCACGACTCTGTCACTGTTGTATTTCACACCGCCCAAAAGAGGACGCCTGTTCAGCTGGCAGAGCCCCTCTGAGCTGGAGACCCCCGCCCTTTGGGAAGTTAGAGACCCCGGGGCAGGGTCAAGCCTGCCCCCTGCAGCCCCCTCGCTCAAAACATTTTTATACTGCTTTTTATTTTGGACCCCCAGCCCCACCCAGAAGATCTAAGCATTGCTCTGCAGCAGTCACACTGTGCACCGGGGGAGGGGCTGCCCCCTCAGTTGCTGCCCCCTCCAGGACGTGGAGGGGGGGCACTTTGCAAAGAGCGGGGAGGGGCAGGCGTGGGAGACCTGGATGGGGGTCTCTTCCCAATCTGGGAGAGGCTGAGCCTCACCAAACCCACCTGGGCAGACAGATGACCCACAGGACCAGGCTCTGGGGCAGCCCACAAGCACCTCCCATGGCAGCCCAGAAGATCCTGGACTGAGCTGCTCAGGTGGGTGTGGGCGGGCACTTTGAGGGCACCTTTGCAAACTGTAGGGCTGGCATCAAGAGCGATGGGGGGAGGGGTGTCAGAGATCGGGGTCCTCCTCAGTTGCATCCTTTCAGCAGCCCTCTTCCAGGTAGGCCAGGAGGTGCCCGTCAAGACATGCCGAACGCACCAGGGTGGGCACAGCCTGCAGAAGGCCCATTTGCACAACCGCAACATTCTCGGAGTATTCCTCCTTGTGACCTCCAAATGGTCCCTTTGGCGGCCACCTGCCAGGGCCCTCCAGAGCCGGTGGCTCCCTGCCCCAGTGGGATGCCCAAATGGGCTGAGACCGACCCAGCACAGCTGGAAAAACCCCTCAGGGCTCTCCCTGGTGGTGGGTGAGAGAGAGGCCCACTCCCCACCCCACCGTTTCTGCCAGGAGGGCCTGCGACGAACCTTTAAGCGATTGCCCCCTGTTTCCCCAGGCCCTCCTGGAGACGGCGCTCACCAGAGTGGTCCTGCCGATGCCGATCCTGGTTCTGCCTCCCATCATCATGTCTCTCCTTGAGAAGTAAGTGGGGCGCAGGTGGCCCCGGGGAGGGGGGGGTCTCCCTATGGGGCTGGAGGAGCAGGGAGGGGAGTCAAGGCCTCCCAGGCTGGCAGAGGGGACGGGAGGCTCTGGGGTGTAATTTTCCACATAATGAGTGCACGGGGACCTGCCAGGCTTCTGAAGGAGGGACGCTTCTCCTGACGTCTCCCCATTTGTAGCACAATCTCCCGTGTCTCACAATGAAAACGGAAAGGGGATCACATGGCAGAGAAACTTCCAGCCACTCGGGTGGCCGTCTCGTTCCGTCATCCGCTTTTATGTCATCTGCATAATTGATGAAGAGCTCCTTAATTTCTGTGTATTTACTTATTACATTTAGAAGCTACTCAACTCTGGGCGACCTATAAAGTAGAGGTAGAACCGTAAAACTAGGAGACGGAAGGGCCACCACGCGTGTCTGGGAAATGCACCACGTAGCAGGAACAATAGAGGGGCTCAGGGTTGAACTGGGGGCGTCTTTTGGTGCCCCTCTGAGCTTGGCTTTTTTGCAGACGTTTCATTACCTTACTGGTTAACATCACCGGTGCAAGCGAGTGTGGGATTTGCTCCCTGTTTATATACAGTAGTTTGCCCTGCCAGTATTGGTGGGGATGTGGTTTTCTCCTTGGTAGTTACTTGGATTTGGGTATTGTTTTCCACCCACTTCCTTCCCCTCCTCCTCCTCCTCCTCCTCCTCCTCCTCCTCCTCCTCCTCCTCCTTCTCCCAAGCCCTCTTCCCCTTGTAGCAGTGATGCTGTGGCCTGTTTGTACAATGAAACGGCTGCAAGAAAGCAACCCAGTGCGGAGAGCGCCCAGCACCCCTCATTTCCCCTTTCGTGGCTCTGACCAGACACATCGATGGCAGCATTGTTGACTATAAACACGGCCCTTCGTGCCCCACCCGGATTCTGCCAGCTCCAGGGCCTGCCCTGAGCCCCCCCCCGGCCGTCTCCCGCTCAGCGCCTCCGTCTCCACCTCCGAGACCCTTGCCGGCACCAAGCCCGAGAAGGCCTGGGCGTCCCAAGTGCAACTTCCATCTGGAAGGTGTTGCAGACCCTCCGAAGATGCCGGCGACAGCTGCCGCATTATGCAGAACGTGAACCGCTAATCAGCCATGTGCTGAAACTCGAGGGAAGGTGCGCGTTCGAGCTCAGTGACACGCCGTGTCTGCAGCACAGATGTACCGTCTGCACCATCTTTTTCTCCGAGTCCCTTCGGGGGTGGAGGCCCTGGCTTGCCGACCCCCCCCTTGGGCTGTTAGAAGGGGCTTCCTGTCTGCCCGAGAGACCCTGTCTCCAAGAGGAGGGGGCTCTGTGGGGAGACCAGTCCCCGGGGGCCCTTGCTGTGAAGAAGGGCACCCTGTCTCTCTTGGCAAGGGGGCAGAGGCCACTCAGGGTGGCAACAAGGGGTCCTGATATGCAGGTTCTGAGGTTTTGCTGGTTAAAGAAATACAGGAAACCAGAAAGTGCCTTTTAAGTTTTACGTTTTTATTCATCTGAATAGAGACGGACTCCTCTAAAATGAGAGGAGCAACAAATGACAAGAAATCCTCGTATTTATTCTGTATAATTACATAAGCAGCCCATCCAGCAAAGCTGACACCCATAAGATAAAGATTGCACCCAGTAAGTCTGGCACACCGAAGATAAGAAGGGAGAAGGCAGAATTAGCTAAACATGTTCCCATTTGGGTGTTTCCCTAAAGATATCGTATGTTCTTGGGTGGGTTAGGACATTGGGTGTTGTCCTGGCTGTCCTTTCCTGACCCTGCATCCAGGATTACAAGTGACCAAAGAGAGAGAAGCCATCTATATGTATTCACAATTAATACTGTCCCCTAATTCCTGGTCATCAGTCCAGGAGACCCCCACTTCCACTGTGGCTGTTTCTGTTTGCTGGAGGGGTTAGGGTCCGCTGCCTCCCATCCCAGCCTTGCCCCCTTCTTTCCAGGCTTCCAAGTATTAGCCCCCCCCCCTTTTTTTTTTTCCAAAACAATTTTTATTAGTTTTCCATTTTACACCAACACAGCTTAAGAACCCATGTGGAAACATGGTGATCAATTTTTTTAAAAAAACAAACCATAACATAGTAAATATATATGCATTATTTCTTAAAAATTTCCCTCTCTGTCTATATGGAATATTATAATCAAATTAATACATTTTCAGATGAATTCATTCATTACTATGTCTAACCATCAACTGCACTAATCAATAAAGAAAAAAATTAATCTATAAAAACCTATATTTCTTCACACATTTAAACTTAAACTTAATGAACTCTCCATTTATTTAAAAACATTATAATCAAGTCAATGTCTTTCTAAAACCAATTCATTCACTGATATAACATTTCATCCAAGTTATATACAGTAATTACAAATAAACTAACTACATTCTCTATTTATATTATTACAGTATAAGCTCATTAAAACATTTCTAAAACAAATTTTCATTGAATATATCGGGGGCCCTTTTTAAAGCTTTCTGGGAACCCCAAGGAAATTAGGGCCGATGCCAGTTGTTCTCCTTTTCAAACCAGGTTTCCAAAGCAGGGCTCTCCAGACTTGGCCACTTTAAGACTTGTGGACTTCAACTCCCAGAATTCCAGCTGGCTGGGGAATTCTAGGAGTTGAAGTCCACAAGTCTTAAAGCAGCCAACTTTGGAGAGCCCCAGGGGGCTGCACAGTGTGGGCTGACCAGCACCGACACCCCGCCCCCAGCCAGGATGGGCTGCAGGGCAGTGAGAGGGCTGGCCTTGATCTGATTCATACTTATGACGGTCGCAGGATCCCCTTTTATGACCTTCTGACAAGCAAAGTCAAGGGGGGAAGCCCAATTCACTTCCCAACTCTGGCAAGAAAGGTCGTAAAATGAGGCAAAACCCACTTAATCACTGTCTTGCTCAGCAATGGAAATTTTGGGCTCACTTGAGGACTAGCTGCGTGCCCAAGTGGATTTGTTTTCTAGCCCAGCTGATTCCTGCTGACTGTTCAAAGGGGGGATATTCTGGAGGGGGTATTTGGAGTCTTCTCCACTGGGAGAGGCTCAGTCTAAGCTGCCCCCTCCGACGGCCCCCAGGTCCTGCAGGGCCTGGCCCTGGGGAGGGGGGTGGCCCCAGGCCTGGCCGAGGGCTCCGCTTTTCCTTGCCGTTGATATATTTGTGGGGTATCAGCCGGGTTGGAAACACAGAAGAGGACTTCATCATGGCTAAGAGTCCAGGGGTAGGCAACCCTGGCTCTTTTATGACTGGTGGACTTCAACTCCCAGAATTCCTGAGCCAGCATAGCTCAGCTTGGAAACCTCTCCCTTTCCCCTCAGCATAGCTGGCTCAGGAATTCTGGGAGTTGAAGTCCACGAGTCATAAAAGAGCCACGGTTGCCTACCCCTGGCTAAGACAATCAGAATCGTGATATCAGATTCAGGCCCTGCCCAGCTGCCCCGCAGAAGGACGGAGGTTTTCATTTTGCTCCAGCTGAGCGTCTGGAAGCATCACGGACGTGGATGACACCCAGGGACTCCTCACCCGGGCTTGGCGATCTCGGCTGCAGGGAGAACAATCCAAACGGGCCTTTTCCAAAAGGCAACTGGACTTTCTTGGGGTTTTTTTCCCCTTGAAAACATTTCACTTCTCATCAGTTTTGAAGACGAACGGAACGGCAGAAGTTCCTTGGATGAGAAGTGAAACCTTTTCAACGAAAAAAAACCTAACGAAGTCCAGTTGCCTTTTGGAAAAGGCCCCTTTGGGACAACCAGGACCCCGGACGATGGAGAATCTCCGCAGATGATGGAAACAGCCATAGCTCCATCATAAAGTCCGAAGAATCCAGCCCGGACTTTTGTCCTGGACCTTCCCACTGAGAGGCCTGCCGAGCCGCTGGGTCCTTCCGCTTCCCGGGGCCCCCTTGCCACCGGATTTCCGCCAGTGAATTCCCACTCGGGGCTCCGTGACCTCACGGCCTCCGTCCAAAGCTGACCGGCTCCTTAGCCCCCGCCTGGCAGAGAAAGCCAGGGAAGGTGGGGGGCAGAGGCCTGGGGTGGGCAAGGCGCGCCCTGGCTGGTGTGCGGGATGAGGGTGGCGTCCTTGCGGGCAGCGGGCAGCGGTTGGGCCTTGCTGCGATTTGAAGAGCAGGGATCTGAAGGCTGGGGGCGAGCCTCCCTCTCGCTTAATTGTGAGTCATTTAGCCTGAACTTTACAAATGCTGAGATCTGAGTCCCAATTAAGACGTGGCACTTCATGTGATAATTAAGGCTTTTTCTTTAAATCAGGCCATAACTCCTGCTAATTAGGAGGCCGCAGCCATTGTGAACTGAATTGGTCCGAGTTGAAAACGCCCAGGGTGGAAGTCACACCTGGGAGCCTCACCAGCAACGCTCTAAATTGGTTCTGCTCCCCGCAGAAATGCGGAGGGGCCCAGCGGCTGTAATTAAGGGACGGCAGATCCCAAAAGGGAAGAGGGGCAGCAGCCCAGAGGGGCTGGGGCGTGATCCACTCGGACCCCAGTGGGCTGCCAGCTTTGGTTGCGGAGGTGCCGGGTGGAATTTCGAGGGACGCCCGTCACCCTTACCAGATGTGGGGATGGAGGGGAGGGGCTCCCCTCATGAGAGAGAAAAGCCCAGCTGCATGCGGAGTGGGGGTGACCGCCCGCGTCCTTCTGCCCTGCCTCCACGGCTCTGGTTTGTCCAGTCCCCTTAGACACGGCGGCCTCTTTGCGAGGGCAGCCTCTCAAGGCCTTGCCCGACTGGGGAGGCGATGACCCCGTTGCCGAAGCTCTCAGGGATGAGGGCAAGGCAGGTAAACAGGGGCTGCCCGGGCAGGGAGTGGGCAGCAGAAGAGCCTGGTGTCCTCAGTGGACAATGCTGCCCTCACCCTCTGGGCGCAAAGAGGGCAATTGTCAAGGGCCCCTCAGAGCCAGGGCAGGGTCAGGGGTGGGGGGTCACTGGAGCCTTCGCTGTCTTGACCGTCCCCTCTTGAAGGAGTCCAGAGTGGCAGCCATCACCGCATCCCTCGCGAAGTTTTGCTGGGCGGCAAAGAAAATCTTCCTGTGTCGGTCCTGAATCTCGTCCTGATTCCTGCTTCGCCCTTTGTGGGTCCTTGAGGAACAGAAGGAGAGAGAGAGATACAGACAGAGAGACTAGCTGGCCGGCCAGGACGGGAAATCGGGGCGTTCTGGCCAGGGTGGGTGACAAGGGCCGGACCCTCACCCAAAAGAGGCTCACTTCTGCGGATGGCTTCCACTCTGCTCCATCGCAGGCTCCTCGGGGCTAAATTGCTGGGTCTTCTCTCCAAAGAGGGCTGCTGGGAGGCGAGTGGGGCAGAGAAGGGGGTCCCTGTGGGGTTCTCTCTCTGACGGTGACGTCTGTCTGTCTTGCAGGACGGCTTTCCTGCGCTCCCGACCTCGGATGCTTCTCCCCGTCCAAAGCCTCGTGTGCCTTGCCGCCTTCGGCCTCGCCCTGCCCATGGCCATCAGCCTCTTCCCCCAGATGTCTGAGGTCAGTGACACGCTTGTTCTGGTCGCCCCCCTGGGGGGGGCAAGGGGGCGCTCTTGTGGAAGGGGCCAGGGGCACCCCTGAGTGGGGGGCATGGATGTCCTGAGCCCGCTTGCTCCAGAGCCCCAGCTCAGTGCCTCCGTGGGCAGGGTGCTCACTCACCCGCGGATCCCGCTTGGAGTGCACCCAGGGCTGCTTCCGTGAATGGAAGGGACCCCCACCACCACCTGGGACCCTCCAGGAGCCCCCGGGTCAGATCTCTGCTTGGAGTCTTTGGGGTGGGGGACAGAGAGTGCGTGGCACCCCAGAAAGTTGTTGAGCCGTTTACAAGGTTTTGCTGGTTTTGTCTCAACGTGGCAGGTGTGGCCCTTACTGGAAGGTGGTTCTCTGTTTGGGGGGGCGTCCCTTTCACTTTATGGGGTGCTGGGTTTGATTGCAAATAACAACTCACTGCAGGGAGGGTTTAACCAATATAACTAGTAAATAAATAGCGGGAGGGCAACGGTGCTGCCTGCAGATTTGAGAAGTAAATAAAATGTGGTGGTTTAAATCTCTCCTCGGTTTAATCTGTCTGTGGATTGGTGAAGCCGGCACGGAATTTGCATGTGAAAGTCCCGGTTTGGGCAACAGTTGGACAGGAAAAATCTTTTCCTCCTTTGTGTCCTCAGATCAGGGAAGGGCAGCTTCAGAGGACTGCCGCCGCTCCCCCCCCGTCCCCCCCCCTGCCCCTCTGCTGGCTTTGCCATGGGCCACCTGGAGTTTCCGAAGCCCTTTCATGAAAAGCGGGGCTGGGGTGGGGGTGGGCCGTTTTAATTAGAGCAGCCTTTTAATTGATCAAAGGACTTTAATGGGCTACCCGGATAAGCCGAGGGGAGCCCTCTGAGCAGGCAAGAGCCCCTCTCAGGCAGGGGCAGGGACCCCGCTTTGGCTTGCTCTGCCCTGCAGGAAATGGGGCTGGGGGGGAGGAGTGAAAAGGGCCCCTTGCAAGCCCTCCAAAGGGGCCGGGGCAAGCAGCAGCCCTGGACCCCGGAGGCTGGGAGCCCGGCACCCCAAGAGCGTGGCCCTTCTGGGCAGGAAATGGGGCGTTTGGCTTGGGCTCCTGAGGCAGGGATGGAGGAGGCCACCTGCCAGGGAGTCCCACCTGCAGGACCCCCGAGCCCCCTTCCCCCGGGGCTCCTGAGACAAGGGCTGGGAGGACCAGTGGGGGGGGTGGAGGCGCCTGCCTGCCTGCCTGCCTGGGAAGGCAAGTGGGTCTGGAGTGAACAGAGACGAGGCCTCCACCACTCCCGGTGCCGGGCAGGAGGGCCAGAAAGGGTAGGGGGGCCTTCCTGGGGGGGGGTCTGCCACAACTGGCCACGGGACAGCTTGCCACGGGACAAGAGTTACACTAATATCACAGAAATAGAGGAACAGAATCCTTCAAGAAAGGATATCAAAAGAGAGACAAAATGACACGCGAATGACAAGAATTAAATTATCTTTTAACTATTTTAAATAAATTGAATTGTTGAATTCTCCTGCAGCAAGTGGACCTGTGGTGAGCTGTCCCCTTCCCCTCCTGGCTGGCTCCCATTTCCCAGCGTGTCCCGGAGGGGCCCCGAGACCGGAGAAAAGGGGGCCCTTGTGGTGGGCTTGCAAAAGAGGCCCCTCTTTCCTCCGCCTGGCCCCCCTTGCCAAGCCCCCTCCCCAGCTGTGCCCCCTGCCCTGGCTGCTTCATCGCCCCTTTGAGTCTCGCCTTCGGCCCCCCTCCAGGGAGTCTTTCTAACTGATTGATTGATTAAAATTCTTTGGCTGCCCCCCCCCATCCAAAGGGATTCTGGCTTGCCAGAGCTTCAGATGAAAGTCTGGGAGGGGGCAGGGAAGGGGATGGCAGCACAGAGCAGGGATGCTGAACGGGAGCCTAGCGCTGGGTCCCTCAGCAAGGCCAGCCAGATGCTGCCAAGTGGGGGTGGGGGTGGTGGAAGGCACAGGAGTTGCAGGGGGCAACTCCTAGTACCCCCCCCCCCCCGCCCAGCGCCTGAGAGATGAGTTGGAAACCCTCCGAGTCAGCAGGCATTGCCAGGTCCGGGACCTTGAAACACCCCCCTCCATGTCAGCAGCGATGCCCTGCGTGATGCCCACTTCAGGTTTCAAACTCCTTCCCGAAGGAGGGGGGGCTTGGCTGGCCCTGCTGCTTTTTTCCAGCAAGGAATATTTATTTATTTATTTATTTATTTATTAAATTTATATAAACTCCTCCTCCTCCCCCTCCTCCTCCTCCTCCTCGTGGTACTCCTCTCTATGGGCGTCAGCAGGTGCCCCTCGGTCCCCCAAACATTCTAGCCCAGTGTTTCTCAACCTTGACCGTTTTAAGGCATGTGGACTTCAACTCCCAGAATTCCACAGCCAGCAATGCTGGCTGTGGAATTCTGGGAGTTGAAGTCCACATGCCTTAAAACGGTCAAGGTTGAGAAACACTGTTCTAGCCTCTCCTTGCGAGGAGCTGCCTGGCGCAGCCCTTTCCCAGCGCAGGTTGGGAGCAACTCTCCCTCCGCAGCCGGCCGGCCGGCCGGACCACCCCAAGCCGCCCCTGCAGGGACTGAAGAGCAGCCGAAGGTCCGCCCCAGGCCCGGGCCTCCTTCTGGCTCTGCGACCAGGGCAGCCGCTCCCCTTGGCCAATCTGTCTGAGCCTCCCTTTGCTGGCAGGCGCCGTTGGGGAAGCAAGAGGTTAATGAGCCAAGGAGAGAGCCGAGAGAGCCGTGGTGTTGCGGCAGCAGCCGCACGATGACAGTGAAGCAGCAATTACTAATTAGATGCAGTTTAACAGGAGGGGGGAGTGACATCTCCTCTTCGCCAACTGTCAATAATTAGCAGATCTGGTGAGGCTGAAATGTGTCCACAGTTAAAAGGCGGCTCCTGCTTGGGAAACCGGGAGGAGGAGGAGGAGGAGGAGGAGGAGGAGGAGGAGGAGGAGGAGGCGTTGGTGGGAAGGGCCGCAGCGAGGCTGGGGCGGGACCAGCCTCCTCCGCTGCCTCAGGGCAGGTGGGAGGGTCTGGCCATCCTGCTGGGGGGGGGAGGGCAGCGCAGGGGCTGTTCCCAGGTAGCACCAGGGCTGGAACCGGCGCAGCGTCAGGGAAAGATGTTGGCAGAATTGGATTCTGCCAGAACAAAGGACTGGCGTTCATGCAAGTCGCCTGAGCAAGTCGGCTGCCCAGCACCTAATCTGGCTTGTGCTCATTGTGCGAAGCCCTTGCAGAGTGTGGCCAGGATTTCAGCCCGGCCCCAGACCGCTGCCCCAGAGGCCTCATCTTGTCCCCAGATTTGGACCTGGCATGGATGCAGCAGGAGCTCCTTCTGGGCCTCATCCTGGGCAGGAGAGTTGGAGACCCTGGGTACGGGGTGGCCCTCGTGCCCCACGCCCTGCCAGAGCCACTCCAGCGGGGGTCTCTCCTGGGCCAAGAGGTGGGACTAAGGGGCTGGCACTGCTCGGCCTGGGGGCTCCCTGGGAGAATGGAGGGAGGAAAGAGAGAGAGAGAGAGAGAGAGAGACAGAGAGAGAAGAAAGAAAGAAAGAAAGAAAGAAAGAAAGAAAGAAAGAAAGAAAGAAAGAAAGAAAGAAAGAAAGAAAGAAAGAAAGAAAGGGAAGGAACGAAGGAAGGAAGGAAGGAAGGAAGGGAAGGAAAAAAAGGGAAGGAAGGAAGGAAGGAAGGAAGGAAGGAAGGAAGGAAGGAAGGAAGGAAGGAAGGAAGGAAGGAAGGAAATAGCAGAGGGGGCAAATCCTTCTTTTGAAAGGAACTGCTCAGCCGCTTCGGAGGGGCCCCTTCCGAGTCCAGGTGTGCCAGTCAGGAAAGTGCCGAAGAGGCTTCAGGTGAGGAGTGGGAAACCTGCCCTCTCCCTCCTGGCAGCTGCCTTGCTGGCCTTGCTGGGCCACATCAACCCAGCATCCGTCACGGAGGGAGAGGCCACGCGGGCGGCCCAGCCCCGGACTCTCTCTGGGTGCCTGGGATCCTCTGGTGGAAGTGGGGCAGCAGGATCCCTGGATGGCACGGAAGGTCCCACCTGGCGCCTCGCAGTGCCCTCCTCTGTCTCAGGAAGTCCCAGAGGGGCTTCTTCCAAAGGCAACCGGAGTTTCCTGGTGTTTCCTTGAAGACGTTTTCGCTCCTCCTCCAAGAAGCTTCTTCACATCGTGAATGAGGAGCGAAACGTCTTCAAGGAAACACCAGGAAACTCCGGTTGCCGTTGGAAGAAGCCCCTTTGGGGCAGCCCTGGACGGCCGAGAGTCTCCGGAGGTGGATCTCAGGAAGGCTGCCTGGAGCCTGGCAGGTTTCCTTCACTGCCCTCTGGATGGACTCTGCTGGAAAGAGGGAGAGGGGCTCCTCCCCGCTTGTGCTTCTCTCGGGCTCTTCTGAGACCCCTGGAGGGCTGAACCCACCAGGAGACCCCCGGAACGCCTTTGCCCTGCAGACGGGCAGATCCCAGTCTTGGCAGCACCAAGCAGCCTTCCCCATTCGCCCCACTCCGGCTTTCTTCCTACTCACGCAGCCCCCAATTTGAGGTGAGAATTTGCCTCCAGTCTGTCCAGAGGCCGCTCTTTCTCTCTTTCACTCTCGCCCCAGTGAGGAAGGTCAGGCCCCCACTCCCCTCCTGCATCTCCAGATCTTGCTGACCTTTGGAGGGGGGGGGAGAGTCTTGCAGGGAGAGCTGGGTCTTGCTGGGTGTGTGTGTCTGTGTCAGAGATGAGCTGCCAAAGTTGCTGATGTAGAGCAGGGCTTTTCAACCAGTGGTAGGGGTACCACCTGTGGTACATTGGCACCTGGCAGGGGGTACGCGACCATCCTAGAAAAGTGGTAGCGGGGGAGGGGAATGAGCTGAACCCGTGGCAGCACCGCACAAGCCTGAGCGAGAGACGGCTGGAGCTGCAGGGCTGTCAGGGCTCAGCGGAAGCGCCAGGATCAGCGCCAGGCTCCAGCTGGAGCTCGGCACTGATCCTGGTGCTTCTGCTGAGCCCAGAAGAAGCGCTGATCA